ACTTTCTTATTGAGCCCCTACAACTATATTCCCCTACAACCTGGGGGAAAGTAACTGAAAGAATAATATCTTAATAGCGCAAATAGAGAAATAAGTACTAACTTTTTTTAATGCTAATACAGAATATTTATACAAATTACAAGAACAGATTTAGCTGCTTTGAGGGATGACAGAGTAAGGAAAACGTTTTTTCCCCCTGCTTGGAAAATATTGTGAACACTTCATTATAAAAATGTAGTGAATTCATAGATAACATCACTGGGGAAATTAAAGTAGAAAGACAGCATGAATGCAGGTCTCCCAAGGTCAGGCCTTTCCATCCTTTTGAAATGACATAGTACTAGGAGAATCTAAAATTAAGAAGCAGAGCGGAAAAATTATATCATGCAATTTAAGGTTATTTCTGAAGTCACCTCTGTTCTTGTTATTATTCTATGTTTACTCAAGGCATATATATACTGGCTGATTCTCAGTGCTTCAGTACCAGATTCTGGTAGATTTTAGTACAGGTAGGCTTCTCTTATAATAGGGACTGGCAACTTTGTTACTAATCAGAGAAGACATTAATTGTGCCATGAAAAGTTTTATCAATCTAACAGGAAAAAGTAGCATAAGAAATATTCAATGGCAGGTAGTGGTGGGATTCAAAATTTTTTACTATGGGTTCTGTGGGCGTGACTTGTTGGGCATGACTTTGGTGGGCATGGCAGGGAAAGGATACTGCAAAATCTCCATTCCCTCCCCACCCCACTAACCTACTTTCCAGCTCTGTTCTCCTGTGCAGGGCAACAAAAATAAGCTGGGACTCGGGAGTGGCCAGTCAGAGGTGGGACTCAAGAGGGCCAAGCAGCTGGGATGGGGGCGGGGCCAGTGAGAGGTGATACTTGCCAGTTCTCCGAACTACTCAAAATTTCCGCTACCGGTTCTCCAGAACTGGTCAGAACCTGCTGAGTAGCACCTCTGATGGCAGGCAACCTTGAAAAGGCAGGAAGAACACAATACGTTCACATTTATTTCATTTATTGGAGGTTTTTTTTCCCCTCTTCTGTATATTGTTTCTATTTACTAGCTGATTAACACCAAAGTGAGCATATGGAACAACTAAAGAGGCCAAAAATGACTTTCCTGTCTGTTTGGGATGTGGAAAATTGCTGTGCCACTCTGGTTAGGATTGCTGTGGGAGTTGACTTAAAGGTGGAGTTTGTTACTTGGCGAAGGCCATAGTTGCTGACTGAGAGGCTCTGGCTCAGGACCAATGAAGAAGCCATTCTTTCTATTTAAAAGTATCTGGCAGAAACAATTGGACCTCTAACTGAAGAAATGTTTGCTGTGTAGCTAGCTGTTCAAGCTGATAAGAGAGCCCAGCAGCAGCCAGGAGTTTCAGGTAAAGGTTTCAGCTGACATTTGGCAAGTATGCTGCTTTTACTCCGTCTAGAAGGGAAAAGACTGAGGCAGAAGAAGATCTTATACTTGTCCCTGGTTAGGATGGTATAGATCAGAGGTCTCCAAACTTGACAACTTTAAGACTTGTGGATTTCAGCTCCCAGAATTCTCCAGCCAGGAATTCTGGGAGTTAAAGTCCACAAGTCTTAAAGTTGCCAAGTTTGGGGATCCATTTTTTTCTAGTTGAAGCAGCACGCACAAACTCTGAGGTCTCCCTGAGGGACCAAGCTTCAAAATGATAGAAAGGGAATTTAGCCATAACAACCATGTGGCTTAATGAATGACCAAATGCATGTTTAAATTGACATTTTTATGAGCCAACTTATGTGTAAAAATAAAAACCCTGCCAGCATTTTTGCTCTGGAGTCAATACCTGGTAGAATTCTGTGGAAGAATTCTAGGCATTTGTTAGAACATTATACCGATCCTGCCATTTTGGCATTTAGTGATTTCTGAAAGAAGCTCAAATGCTCATTTTTGTTTACTTCATTCCGTCGGGAAAGTGGCCTGCTAAAGATCTAATCTCAGCGACGCTGTTTCTCATTTAATTCGTATAATGAAAAAGGGAAAAGAATCTTCCATTTGCTCTTCTCCAAATACCTTTTAATTTTCCAAGGCGTTTGCAATGGCAGTCACACTGAAGCTGATGTTCATCACTTGCTGCAGTCCTTCCATTTCTTCTGCCTTTTTGCTTTTCCTTTCAGAGGGCTCCACTCAATTTAGGTCACTCTTGTATTGCAAAGATAAAGGCTTTTATTTATTTATTTTTCGCTGAATAAGGCTGGGTGTCTCCGAAGTACAATACGAACCATTCCTTGCCAGAAAGGCTGGCTGAATGAAGAATATTGGCTGTTATTATTTTTTTTCTTTTGCAGTAATGTAAGGCAGAGTTGAGCTCAGTTTGAACAGTCTGGCCCAGATGGGATTTTTGAAAACATCCTGATTTAAAGAGATACCCAACTTCACACTTATGGGCCTGTTTGCTGAAAGACTTGCTGTTCCAATATTGGAAGGTCTCATAGAGACTTTATAGCAATAGCACTTAGATTTATATAGTGCTTTACAGCCCTCAGTGAGTGTTTTACAAATGTGGGATGATGGGAGCCACATTCAAGGATGGTAGAGTAGGGAGAAGAAACCTTACAGTCACAAAACTAACTAAAAGAGCAAGGCCCAGCTAGAAATGTATTCTCTGAACTTTTTATTTTTTTAAAAAAAAAAGCTTGATAAATAGGGCAAAAGGAAACTTCAGACTTCTGTGACTCTCAGTCGGTCTGGCCAATGGCAATGGCACTCCACAATAACAATAGTAATAGCACTTAGACTTATATACCACTTCATAGTGCTTTACAGTCCTATCTAAGTGCTTTACAGAGTCAGTCAGCCTCTTGCCCCCAACAATCTGGGTCCTCAATTTTACCAACCTCGGAAGGATGAGAAGCTGAGTCAACCTTGAACCGGTCAGGATTGAACTGCTAGCAGTTGGCAGAATTACCCTGCAATTCTGGCCACTATGCCATTGGTATCTGGGATGTTTTTTTATGTACAATACATTCTCTTTTTCGGAAGTGTAACCTGCCACGACATGCTTTGAAGGATTATTTTATATAAATGCATAAATACATAAGGATATATTAGCTCGGTAACTTGAGGTTCCCCAAATATTTTATACAGCAGCCGCTCCAAATCCTTTTCATCATGGACACTGATCAGGGATTTCAGCAATTGGTTGGTCCAATAATTAGTGGTCTACATTTGACAAAGAAAATCAATGGAGTTTTCCTGACAAGTTATTAAATCATTGTTACTCCAGATTCCACGGGTTAAACAGAAATGTTAGTTGTTGCTGCTGGGCCTTTCGAAGATGAGATCTTCTAAGTCCTACTTGGAAATAGGATTTTTTGTGTGTGTGCCATGTGTGGTTGATCCTATCAACTGCAATAATCTGTTTGTGGATTCACGCAGAGGAAAAATATATGAAGGCAGCAATAATATATATTTTTAAAAGGTTGGCTCTTCCAGCCAGGTAATTTGGCCTTTGCTGAGCCAGCATTATATACTGTTGCAACAAGATTTATTTCTTAAACTCTCCCCCATTAGTAGATGGATTCTGTGAGCCTGTTATCTTAAAATCTGTCCATGATTTCATTCAGGAAAGAAGCCCTTCATCATAAACCAGGCAGGTGGCCATAAACTTGAAAGCAAGTTGCTCAAAGCCAGAGTTTCCAATGCAATTCAAGGCTGCCTTGCTTGCACTTTATTTTATTTATTTGTTTGTTTGTTTATTTATTTATTTATTTATTTATTTTTGTCAATTGCTTACAAGATAATAGGTATAAGTAAAAACATAGTTATGAATACATGGATACATATAAGAAAAATAAAAAAATAAAAGAAACAATAGGACAGGGATGATTGGCACATTGGTGCACACTCCCTACAGACCTCTTAGGAAAGGGGTGAGGTCAATAATAGACAGTCTAAGGTTAAAGTTTTGGGGGTTTGGGGAAGAAACCACAGAGTCAGGTAGAGTATTCCAGACATTGACCACTCTGTTGCTGAAGTCATATTTCCTGCAATCAAGTTTGGTGCGATTAACCTTGAGTTTGTATCTATTGTTTGCTCTTGTGTTGTTATGGCTGAAGCTGAAGTATTCATTGACTAGTAGTACATTGCAATGTATGATTTTATATACTATACTTAGATTGGACCGAAGGCGGCGTAGTTCTAGGTTTTCTAGGTCTAGAATTTCGAGTCTGGTGGCATAAGGTATTCTATAATGAGTAGAGGAGTGGAGAACTCTTCTTGTGAAATATTTCTGGAGTTTCTCAACTGTGTTAATATCACATATGCAATGTGGGTACCAGACTGATGAGCTATGTTCGAATATTGGCCTAGCAAATGTTTTGTATGCTCTAGTTATTAGTATAATATTACCAGAGAAAAAGCTACGTAAGATTAGGTTAACAACTCTTAACGCCTTTTTGGCTATGTAGTTACAGTGGGCTCTAGCACTTAGGTCATTTGAGATGAGTACTCCAAGATCCTTGACAGAGTTTGGATCATCAACAAGGTATTTACTATTCAGCTTGTATTTTATTTTCTGATTATTATTATTTTTGCCAATATGTAAGACAGAGCATTTATTTGTTGAGATTTGAAGTTGCCATTTGTTTGACCATTCTGATACATAGTCAAGATCTTTTTGAAGGGTAGCAGTATTGTCTGTGGTGTTGAATAGCTTTACATCATCAGTGAAGAGAACACAGTTGCTCTTGATATGATCACAGAGGTCATTTATGTGGAGTATGAAAAGAGTTGGTCCTAGAATACTGCCTTGGGGGACACCAGTGTTGACAGGTACAGAATTTGATAGGATGCTCCCAATTTTGACCATTTGTTGTCTGAAGGCATCTCTGCCATCTGATATTGTCCAAGGAGTCACTCTCTTTGGGAATGTTGGATAAAAACAGTTTAATGTTTCTTGATAACAGTTTGTCCTTCCTAAAACACTATCGAGGGAGTTTTCTTATTTTCCTTCTTATTTCTTCCTTCAGATTATTACCATCAGGGATTACATTCCCAAGATCATTGGTCCAGATGCTTTCGAACAATACATTGGTCCTTATCAAGGCTATGATCCCACAATCAATCCAACAGTAACCAACGTATTTTCGACCGCAGCCTTTCGCTTTGCTCATGCTGCAATTCATCCACTGGTAAAGAGGCTCAACGCACAGTATAAGGAAGACCCAAATCTTCCTAATCTTTACTTGCATGAGGTTTTTTTCACTCCCTGGAGACTCATTAAAGAAGGTACTTTATGTAATGCGGTTAGATCCACTAACATCACAACACTATTCTTTCTAATTGAATTTTCTTTCAATGAAAAGGTTTTGTTTTCATTTTAACATTGTTCTGACTGCTGAATCATTAGCTAACACATTTTGGTTTTCTGTTTCTAGCTGGCAGAATTAATTACTCACCCTTTTTATTCAGAGTTTTGCAGCGTTAATTCAGCGCTAGGAAAATAAACACAGATGACTGATGCTTCATGTTACATCTTTATAAACATAATAAGTAGATTTTACAAACCAATTGTAGATTTCTCCAACATGGAGCAAACTCAGACAGAAGTAGACATGTTACAAATGCAGAGAGCTTCAGCAGCAACTTCAGCAGCTCAGAAACAGACATCAGTTTCACTTTAGTTCAGAAGGCAAGCATTATACATAGCAGAGAAGAGAAGCAGTTTCATTTCCAATAGACAGACTCAGAGCTGAACTTAGCTTCAGAGCTGCAGAGCTTAACATAGAGCCATGCCCAGGCTACTTCTAGTTTCAGTTTCCTAGGCTATTTCTAGTTTCAGTTTTCAAACGGTTCTCATTGGCTGACTTAGTTGCTATGCCTATTTATTGGCTGACCTTGTTACCATGCTCTGTTCCAGTTCATGAATATATTCTGACACCTTTTCATTTATTTTGGCTTTTGGAATAAATTTGGCTTGTCAAATGGGTTACAATCCAGGGTGGACTAAGGATATGTGTACACACTGGAAGGTTTATATGAAATACAATCAAAGCTCATACTTTCTGAATTACTTCAATAATTTTTTATTTATTTCAAAGATCAGGGGATTTCTTTGAAGGCCAGATCAGCATTGTAGTTCTTCTCCATGGGCCAGAGAGTGGGGAGGGGGGAAGACGGGATGGATACCTCCTGCACCACCTTGCCAGCCAAAATGGGGCATGGGGGGGGCTTGTGCAGCCCCCCCCCCCCCCACACACACACACAGCCCATGCTTGGCCTGGATGGCCTCCTGCAGCACTCTACTGGCCAAAAACAGGCTGTGGGGGACAGATCCAGCTCATGGGCCTTGAGTTTGATGCCCCTGGTCTAGACTAATTTTTTACAATGTGGTATTATAAACTGGGTATCAATAATACCTAAACCTCCAATTTATGTTGCAGGGAATAGGAAAGCAAAAAATCCTCTAGATTTTGCTGGATCTCTTCCAGCAAATCCAGCCAGTAACAGTGAAGGTTTTGTGGGTAGTAGCTCAGCAATATCAGAAAGGCTTCACTATTGACATCTTGTTTCTAAAGAGGTAGATACAGCGTGATCAGTGAAGGAGAATATTTATAGCTCAGAGTTGGAATGAAGGGTCCTTGATGTCTCCTGAGCTTGCTTGTTTTCTTGCAGATGTTTCATTACTCAGACCAGATAACTAGGGAGCACTGATGATGCTACCTAGTAATGAAAGGTCTGCAAGCACAGAGAGCATTAAATCCTCTTCATATAGGGTGGTCTAGGGCTGTGAGATAGGTGCCATCAGAAACCTTTGCTTCCTTATACAGTATAGTATGGCTTGGGACCAGACTATCTGAGGGACCTTCTCTTGCCAGTCACATCTACCCGACCCATCAGAACAGGGAGGCAGGGAATGTTGCAGGTCCCATCCTTGAGGGAGACACACCTGGTGGGACCCAGAAGAAGGGCCTTCTCCTTGGTGGCTCCCTCCCTCTGAAACATAATTCCCCCAGAAATTACACTACCCCCCCTCCTCTGATTCTCTTCTGAAAAGCATTGAAAACCTGGTTCTGCAATGGGCCTGGGAAACTGACAGCGGGATGGAGGCCATTAAATGGCTTGTGTAATCGGCTGTCTCTGGGTGGGGGAGGTAGGGGTGATTTTACTATATTACTTTCACCTCTGACTGGAGATTTTACAGTATCCTTCCCACCAAGCTACTCCTACAGAACCGGTAGTAAAAAAAAATTGAATCCCACCACTGGGTATAGCTGACCTAATGATATTAAAGAAAAAGTTGTAAGGACAGGTAAGTTATTTTTCTTGGATCGTTGATGAAATCTTATGTTTAAGCACTCATCTCAACCAGTTTATCTTCATATAAATGCTACGTATTTTTGTGGTCGAAGGTGGTTTGGATCCCTTGCTAAGAGGTACACTAACAACTGCAGCAAAACTTCAGGTCCAGAATCAACTGTTGAATGAAGAGTTAACGAAGAAGCTCTTTGTATTGTCTAACAATGCTTCCTTGGATTTATCATCACTTGATTTACAACGGGGACGTGATCATGGGCTCCCAGGTATATTGGTTTAAAGAAAAGATGTTCTATGTCAATATTAGGATGAAAGACGGTGTATATTTCCTCTGTGGCTTGAATATCAGTTATGATTATTCAAAGCCATTATTTTCCTGAGAGGGTTGGTAAAATGAGTTTCATGCTATGCTGCCTTTACTTTATTGTAGAAGTGATCAAACTTTGGGACGGATCAAGTAGATGGTGCCACAACACATGCTACCAAGAGCCAATGATAGCAGAGAAATAGTGGTCCAAAAGTAGAAGAAATTATCATTTCTCTGCCTCTGTTCGTGAGAAATAGCCTTCTTCGATTAAGAAGATAATCAAAGGACATTTTGTTTTTGTCCTTTAATGACCCCGCATTCCCTTGCATAGGGATGAAGTCGGGGCAGCTGAACGGAGCTGAGTGTTTACTGGCCAGATGCCCTTCCTATCACCAATGCAGAGTTTGCAGCAGATATTTAGTCACTGTACCCAGAGAGAGAAATATCTACCACTACCTAGGATCAAACTCACAGCCTCCTGATTGTGAGGCGAGAGCTCCACCTCTTGGCTTCTGCACCACTCAATCAAAGGACATAATGGAGATTTAACATTTGTTTCACCTTTCCCACAAGTTGACTAATAGATTCTGCTGCAAAGATGTCATAAGCTTATAGTTCTTGCCTGCGGCAGTTACACCAGAATCAGAATAGAGCTGGAAGGGACCTTGGAGATCTTCTATTCCAGCCCCCTGCTCAAGCAGATCTTATACCATTTCAGACAAATGACTGTCCAGTCGCTTCTTAAAAACCTCCAGTGATGGAGCACTCACAACTTCTGGTGGCAAGCTGTTCCATTGGTTAATCGTCCTCACTGTTTGGAAGTTTCTCTTCAATTCCAGGTTGCTTTTCTCCTTGATTAGTTTCCATCCATTGTTTCTAACATTATGGTGTATGTTGTGCACACTGAAGGAGTAACCAGGGTTTACAGGAGTAGATTTCAAGGCATGATTTTTAATCATTCTTATTATAGGTAGTCCTCATCTTACAACAGTTCATTTAGTAACCATTCAGAGCTACAACGGCACTGAAAATAAGTGACTCATGACCATTTTTCAGTCGCAACCTTTGTAGCATCCCCATGATCACTTGATCAAAATTCAGACGCTTGGCAATTGGTTCATACTTATGACCGTTGCTGTGTCCCAAGGTGGTGTGATCACTTTTGCAACCTTTTGACAAATAAAGTCAATGGGGAAGCCAGATTCACTTAACAACCGGGTTTCTAACTTATCAACAGCAGCAATTCCCTTAACAACGATGACAGGAAAGGTCGTGAAATGGGCCAAAACTCACTTAACAAACATCCCACTTAACAACAGAAATGTTGGCCTCAACCGTGGTCGTAAGTCAAGGGCTACCTGTATTTACTTTCCAATTCAATTCCCGCCCCCCCCAAAAAACCCATTAAGGTATGCGAGTGTGTCATATGACTGCAACTCTTTAAAGCTTACCTGGTGGATGCAGAGAATAACTGTGTGAACACATAAAAGTGTGGCTGCTTTAAAGAGCTGCAGACAAGTATACTACTCTTCCTCTCCTGCGTTTTCTAATGAATCTTTTCCAAACTATGCCCTAAATTGGTGATGGCTAACCTTTTCGGCACCAAGTGCCCAAAGCGTGCATGCGCATCATCAAAATGCATGCACCCCCTCGCGCATGCACTCCTCCTCCCGCACATGCATGTGTGACTCCCTGTGATCCCTGCACATGTGCACGACTCCCACATGTGCGCCCCACCTTATGCATGTGTGCGCAACCCCTGCATGTGCACGCTACCCCCTGCGCATGCGTGCTCAACCCCCATGTGCACCCTGTCCCTGTGAATACGTGGCAGAGACCTGAAAACCAGCTGGCTGGCAGGAGGCATTTGCGCATGCATGCATGGCAGAGCTGAACTGGGGCGATGGCTCGCATGCCCAGAGAGCGAGGGCTCTGCGTGCCCCTTCTGCCATAGGTTTGCCATCACGGCCCTAAAATCTATACAGGCCTAATCTGTTTTGGGTAGAGTTCTCTCTTTCATACAGTATTCATTTTCCTCCCTAAATAAAACTTTTAATATCAGATGAAACATTCCATTCATGCTTTCAGAGCTCTAGTTTTTCAACCCGCTGCCATCAATTTCCAATCTCTTTTTGATGATTTATATAATTCACCTAAATACAAGTTCCTCTCTTTTAATTAGTAGAATATCAGCTGCTGTAATACTCTGACCCTGAAGATTAACTGTTAATAGTGAGCTTGACATCTTGGAGTTTCTTAGTCTCGAAAAGCCTTAAATCAAATTAGTGATTGGTTTGCCATTATGATAAGCAGGACCAAGCTGGACTGGGACTTTTAAACAAATCCAGTTACCGTTTTGCACCACAGTCATCAGTATTTCTCCAACAGTGTTTTTCAGGGAAATCGCATCTATATACAATGCTGATGAATCAGAGAGTATCTGAATGTTCTATTGGCACAATGTAAGATGAGGCCCATGCAAAATATCTACTGTACCACAGCTTCATTTGCATAGGGTTGTGGATTTGAATTGGCAAAGCCTACTATATCTCAAATCCGCTCCCAAAGCTTTTTTTTCTCTGATTCTTGGGCTAGTTTCAATCAAAACTAGTTCAATACTTGGCCCTAACATTACATTGGATAGGTGGGCTACAGAGCCAATGTAAATTTTTGAGCAAGCAGATGGGATTCCAATATGACAAATACATTCTTTGTGCCAAGACAAAGCAATGACTTTTTCTAGCATTTTTTTTTTTAATACTAGAAAAAGTCCTCTGTTGCTCTAAGCTCAGTTTACACATGGATTGGGAGCCATGAGGATATATCAGGGTTGTGGGCTTGACAGGAAAATTGGGGGAAAAAAAATTCCCCAAAGATGGTACTGCTGCATAACTTGCCACAAAAACTTTATGGTTGTATCCATATAGTCCCAATTTTCTCACTCTACAAAAAGTTTTTGGTACAAAAATTATTATTTCATGGAGGCAGGGGTTCAGATTTGTTTTTAGAACTGTTGCACTGCTAACATGGTAAGGGTAGTTTTGTATATCTAAAAAAGAGAACTGTGTTTGAACCTTATTGTTTATGCAATATCTGTAGGTTACAATGACTGGCGAGAATTCTGTGGCTTGCCAAGACTAAGGACAGAACAGGAGTTGATGACAGCAATAGAGAATAAAACCATGGTCCAAAGAATTATGGAACTCTACAAAAGCCCCGACAATATTGATGTCTGGCTGGGGGGAATAGTAGAAAATATTCACCCTGATGCCAGAACGGGTCCCTTGTTTGCATGTATCATTGGAAAGCAAATGAAAGCATTGAGAGATGGTGATAGGTAAGCTTATTGTACCTGCATTATTGGATTATACTTGCTTTTACAGAACAGACAGGGTGAGCCATTTAGATATCTGGACTCAATAGGTTTAGTGAGCTTCAGCACAGTGAAGCCTTTCCTTCTTTCCTTCCTTCCTTCCTTCCTTCCTTCCTTCCTTCCTTCCTTCCTTCCTTCCTTCCTTCCTTCCTTCTTTCCACAAATTTCTCCATCATCATTATTACCATCACCACCCCTATCATGAATTATGTTAGTGACTGGATGTTACAGATTCTGCCAAGAAAGAATAACAAACCCTCAGTGACTTAAGGAATTGTACTGAGGATCTCCAATAGAACTCAAGGACTCAATACCTCATTACATAGCTAACATCTTCTGTCAACATAGCACCAGTGATCTCTTTGCAGATGCTCACATATCGGTGCAAAAATTGCTGGGTTGGAGGTTAGCAAGCTGGCATTTGAGACCTGAGTGCTGCTGTGTTGTGGGGTGAGCTCCCGTCATTCGCTCCACCTCCTTGGCAGGTACATGATAGGAGCCCCCATGACCATCCCCTGGGCAATGGTGGTGTCACTAGCTAATCTTTTCAACCCGGAAGTGCCTTAAACAGTACTCCTGACATGAACAAGGTGCAAAGATCTACAGTGGGGAAGACAAATATACTTGTAATGTAGTCCATGTGAACCAGGATGCCGCTTTCCTAGGGAACTGTTGCTTGATAGAAGCCAAAATGGATACAATTATAGTACAAAAAGTCTTCTCAGTGTTCAAGTTGAAAGCACTTGAGAATATCAAAATATTTGCTGCAGGAAAATATCATTGGAGCAGTATTAACAAACACCCATATGCTCAGTGCTCTGCATCTTTAGTGCCTTACATTTCCCCCACATGGTGAAGTAGAATTGCATTCAGTATTCTTAATTCTATACCGTTAAATCCATGATATTACTTTTATTCCATATCCTTCAATGCAACATATAATCCTTAATCATTTGTGAGATCCCATCTTATAATACTCTACTCTCTACACAAATTTTAATCCATTGCTAGCCATGTCCTAATACATATTTTAATATCAGCAAATTTAGTCCTATGAAATTGGGATATACACTGACAGATTGTAATTGTATTGGCATCTTCTTCCCATGCAGATTTTGGTGGGAGAACATCAACATTTTTACTGATGCTCAAAGGCAGGAGCTTGGAAAATATTCTTTATCCAGACTTATTTGTGATAACACGGGCTTGACGGAAGCACCCCTTGATCCTTTTCTACTTGGGAAATTTCCTAAAGATTTTGTGTCATGTGAAAATCTACCTAGCATTAATTTAGGACCTTGGCGTGAAGTCCTTTGACCAGGTAACTTGAAAATTAATAATAGATTCATCTACAAGTGTTTATTGATAAATACAGTACATTCTGCTGCATTTCTCGAGCATAATGCCAGGGGAATAAACATAGGATTGCTGTTTTAATATCTCTCCCTTAGTTAGGGATATTTCAAACAAAAAAATATACTGAATGTTTTGCAGGATAGAAGCAAAGTGTCTTAATTTCTTCTGTCACCAATTTTATCTTGTTGCATTGCATGAAAGGATTATGAAAGTATGCAAGAAATATTGCTGAAAATAGTATCAGAAGTGGTGATACTATTGATCACATCTCCACCCACTTTAATGTACACACACTGACACCGTGGATTGCCTCCATGCGGCTGAGAATTAACCTTTTGTGAAGCTTTCCTTACTAAGAATCTAAATTACACCTAGCAAATTGGGTATTCTTCCATGTATAGGCATGGGAAAGGATTAGATTAGAACCAAGAACTGCCTTTAATTACGTTGCTGAATCGCTAAAAAGTTTGCCAATGCGGCATTTATATAACTGCCAAATTTAAAGAAATCAGGGACAATACAATGGAATCAAAGCCAATTAAGACAATGAGTGAATATATTTGGCAAGGCGAACATACTATACTATATGTATATTCATGCAGACAACCAGCTACAAGAACATCTTCATCATCTGTTAACTGTACATGATTTTAATGCAGCAGAAACTAAGGCTACCGGATCTGGAGTGCAGAACTCTGGGCTATTGGTAAATGGCAGTAGACAGCACTCCATATACGACAATCCCTCAGAAGTCATTATTCCAGCTACAGTACAGCCTGGATAGAATATGATGATATGGCTTCCTAAATAAGTCAGAATTGGTTTTAGAGATCACAGCAGATCCTAATTGGTTTAATTATGGCTTATTTAAGAAATCAGAATTGGATCCGCACAAGTTAAGCCATAACCATGGTTTACAAAGCCGAGTAGCAGAGTTCTCACTTCCTTTAAATGAAATAAACTTTGTAGAGTTTGGACCAATGTGTTAACCAAAATAATCTCTGGGAGAGACATACTCTGACACGATGGACATACATTTAGGGTTCAGGGTGAATAAAAAGTTGGTTTCTTAATATTATTAACAGATGTTTCCTTATCTGGAGGTTGTAAGATCTTTTATGGAAAAAAATGTGACTCCTTATGGCCTTGCTCAGAAAAAAAGACTTTATCCATTCTTTCGGATAAGCTACAAAGCAGCAAATAACTTATAAGGATATAGCTAGAAGATAATATAGTTATGTGCTTTTTTTCCTTGTAAAAATATGGGCAAATTTAAATGACAATAGTGAGCCCCAAGTTTAGACATTACATGGTTAGAATAACAACTAAAAAGAATGCTTTCTTTAGAACAGCTTTAGATATTGTCTGTATAAAAGACATTCATAAAGTAAAATCGTGTATCATTATGCCAGCACTGAATGAAACAATTAAGAAAAACAGTATTTCAACACTTTAAGAAAATACAAATTGTACAAAAACACATATTGCAAAAGAAATGCACAAAGTTATGGTGAAGAGTATTTTAGAATATATATAGCAAGTATACTAACCCTGGAAAAGTGTTGCCTTTTTAAAAAATTATCACTGAAATATAATTTTATTATATTTTTATTTACATGATACATGATTTTATTTATCTTAAATTGTTGCAATTTATTCCAATTCCATTTTAAAAAAATTTAATCAGATTTTAGTAATAGAATCTGGAACTCTGCACTTTGATATGGTCCAAGGGCTAATCAATAAAATAAAGTAAGTAAAAATTATCATGATGGAAGATTCATTGGGAGATAAAATCAGATGTTATATTTTATTAGGCACTGGGTAAATAAGAAAACAATTACTAGCTGTTGGTCAACTTGACATTCTGGTAAACTGATTAAGGATAAAGAACTTAAAGGTACATAATAGCAATAGAACTTGGACTTGTATGTTACTTCATAGTGCTTTAGTTTACAGCACTCTCTGAGCAATTTACAAATGTCAGCCTATTGCTCCTAACAATTTAGGTCCTCATTTTATCAACCTCAGAAGGATGGAAGGCTGAGTCAATCTTGAGCAGGTTAGGACCAAATTCCAAAATGTGGACAGAGTTTGCCTGCAATACTGCATTCTTAACCACTGTGCCACCAATTAATAATACATTAATTGTGACTAAACAAAATAGTTTAAAAATATGCAAATTTTCAGATTCTCCAGAATTCTCTTTGATGTAGGAGGTTACCAAAAGTGGTGAAAAAATTAAGAGGAAAGCTTGAAAGTCAAGAAAATAAATTTAGGTCAAGACTGCTAGGTTGAATGTATTAAGTCATGGTTGCATGTTAGTGGTGTCAACTTGCATCTGCCATTAGGAAGTAGATAAACTGTTTCTTCCCCAGCTTTGAAAACACCAAGGCGACTACAGTAATCCACAATAGAGTGTATGTATGTATGTATGTATGTATGTATGTATGTAAGTTGCAATAAGTCCTTTTAAATTCACTATATTGTTTTGTTTTTTGTACTGTATATGTGGGATTTCTGTATTCAGCAAGATATATTGCTGTAAATTTGCTATCCTAGGTTTCTGTTCCTAACCATGATGGTGCTAAAGTAAATATGCATTATGACAATGCAAGTTCTGCCCTTTAGTACTTTAGTTTTGCTGTCACTAGTAAGTATGTAAGGAACAGAGTTTGTGATGCAGGCTTTATTCCTTTCCACCACAAAGTTGTTTATGATTCATGGAATCACTGTTGCCTGAATAAACAATACAAAATATTTATTTAGTGTTCCTTCAACAGCTGAATAAGCTGATTAATAGGCACCCTTGAAAATTATTACATCTAGGCAAAAGAAAAAACAAAGATATTACAAGACTGTTCCAAAGTTTCTTACTTGGAGTAATTATTGAAGAATAAGTATTGCACATTTAATTTTTCTCAGTTGTTGTATAATTTCATAATGTTATCAGTGAAATGAAATCTGTATATGTTTTACAAAATATGAAGATATGAATTTAAAAAAAAACATTTGTACATGCACTATATAACTACATGCACTGTTATACAAAAATCTGGGCTTCACAACTGACTTCAGTATGGGTTAAATGCCCCTTAAAGTATATAAGAATAATAATTTAGTGGAGTGGAGTATAAGGCTTCTATTTCAGTATATTAAAGCCATCACCATCAACCAAATTAATGTGCATAGTTTTTCACCTCATGTTTTGTTTCTACTTTAAGAATTGCAACCTGGTTCTCCAGTCAAAGAGGAACATGAGGACTTCATCATCCATTCTGGTAATCCACTCCTGCCACAAAAGATATAAGCTACCTGGACAAAAACAATTATCTTGCACAAAAGGGAAATGGAATTCAGAACTGCCAAGCTGTCAAGATGCTTCTCTCTTTTAAATCTGATATTTTCATCACAATTAAATATTTCAACATAGCCCCACTAAATGTCATTCCTTCAGTTTGTGTTTATTTACATATTTTTAATTTTAGAAATTATATGAACAGAAGCAAAACATAAAAATATATGTAAAGGAAAGTTAAGATACCAAAAAGTGTGAGAAATTGCACAAATAAAGAAATATAAACATGGATCAAAGGTTGCAATAGGATTCATATGAAGTCTTCATGCTGTTTGAGAGCATATATTTTAAGAAATCTTTGCCCCATTTAATTGTAGGTAGGCCTTGACTCATTACCACAAAGGAGTCCAAAATTTATGTTGCTAAGTGATACTAAGTGAGACAGTTGTTAAGAGAGTCTTGCCCCCCTTTACAACTTTTCTTGTCACCGTTGTTAAGTGAATCAGTGCAGATGTTAAGATAGTAACACGATCGTTAAATGAACCTGGCTTCCCCATTGACTTGGCCTGTCAGAAGGACACAAAAGGTGAGCACATGACCCTGGGACACTGCAGCCGTCATAAATTTGAACCAGTCTGACTTTTGATCATGTGACCATGTGGGGGTGTTGCAATGGTTGTAAGTGTGAAAATGTGTTATAAGACACTTTTGTCAGTGCTGTTTTAACTTCAGTCACTGAGTGAATGGCTGCAAGTCGAGGACTACCTGTGGTAGGAAGGGAAATGGGAACAAGATTTAACCTCTGTGTTTAAGTTCAGGCTGGACAGACTGCAGCCACAAAATACTAGCTCCCAAGTAGACCTGAAATTGCCTCACATGCCTCTGAAAATATTCCTACTGCTTTTTAATTGTATAGAGAGGGCATGATGATTTGAATTGCGATCTTTGTTTTCAATCTGAATAAAATATGGTTTACGAAGTTCTTTGGGTGAGTGTACATAACTCATTAACTGAAACTATTTTGCTCTAAACATCCCTGCTGGCTGAAGTGCAAAGTAATGGTGTGTCCTCACTCAAACTGGCTGTTCATGGAGAAGCTCCATTTTTAACATTGCACTTTAGTGATAAGGTTTAGGATTGAGCAATTGAGCTAAAACCAATTGTTATGTCCTGAGAACTCTAGGAGTTCTCACTCAGGTCCACTCACTTGTGTGGGCGTTATTCCCCCATTCCCATTGGTTGGTTCTCTCCAGCAGCCAGCTATAAAAGCAGGCTGCGGGGTCCAACCAGTTGCTGATTGCTGCGAGCCAGTTCCAGGCGTGGCAAGCACGGTCAGCCCTTTATTGTAAAATAAAGTATTGTTGCACTCATGCTCTGGTTCAGCCTCTCATTGCTCAAACTTAACAGTGGCGACGAAGGTGGGATGGCTACCAGAAGCACCATGCAACCGCTGAGTCACTAGCCACCGATCCGCAGCCCAGAGAGAGCGATCGGCTGGCGATAAGGGAAACGCTGATCCGCAGCCAGAGAGAGCGGTCAGCCAACAAAACGAGCGATCAAAAAGAGCAAACGCTGATCCGCAGCCAGAGAAAGCGGTCTGGTTCAAAAGTTAGAAGCGTCTATAGCCGCTTGTTAGCCCCGCTACGGGGAAAGTGAAGCGCTGCGAGCCGCAGCCGCTCTGTATTTGGCGCGAAATTCAAACGGGTGTCATTTGAATTTCGAGCCAGTAGGAGACACAGCACAGCGCTGTAGGAAGTCACTAACGCCCACTTTTGGCGCGAATCAAGACACCTCCAACGGCTAGCAGCCAACGTGGTAACCCAGAGAGAGAAAGAGAGGGTAGCAAAAAAACCTCTCCAGAGCTGATATCACTAGTAACTCACGAGCGCCCGTTGTCCCAGAGAGATTTTTCCGCAGGTAGCCCAGCCGTTCCAGCACCATGAGTTCCAATCCAGTATTCCCGGCGTTTAAACCAGACGAAGAGAAGTGGGAATCGTATAAGAACCGCTTCAGTCATTACATCGATGCGGTCGGCCTGGCGGATGCGGGAGAGCATCGGAAAAAATCCTATTTCCTAATCTACTGTGGAGCCACCGTTTACGATACCGCCGCAGCACTCGTGGCGCCGAGAGAATTGAAAAACGTCCTGTGGTCCGAGTTGCTTGAGATCCTCACTAACCACTACGCTCCCAGGCCTTCACAAATCGCCAGAAGGTTCACGTTCCGTATGAGGAAGCAATCAAGTAAGGAGACCATCAATCAATATATGGCCGCCCTCAGAACAGCAGCTCTGCACTGCGGGTTTGGAACATACCTGGAGGACATGCTCCTCGATCAATTGGTTTGTGGGGTCAAGGATCTCAACCTACAGAGGCGCCTGCTAGCAAAAAAAGACCTCAACCTCGCGCAAGCGGTCGAGGAGGCCCTAGCAGCCAAGCTAGCAACGAACTCAGCCACCGAAATTCAGGGCCCAAGTGCCAAGTTGGCATCGTTCCCAGTCCATTCCGAAGAGGTGGAAGCGGAGGAAACCCACAACGATGAAAACGACGTCCACCGCCTCGCCAACGACAGACGGTCGCAGGTAGGGGCCAAACAAGAATACACCGGTCCACCCAAGCACATCACACTGTGCCTAGCCTGTGGGGGATCGCATCAAAGGGCCACCTGCAAGTTTAAAGGAGCCACTTGCAACAACTGCCATAAGAGGGGGCACATCGCGAGAGTCTGCCAAGGCCCTCAAAGCGCGGCACACAGACCCCCGTCCTCGCACTCGGGACCACAGAGGCAAGTATTAAACTGTCGCACGCACCGCCTTGCCAGGCGTACTTGCCACTCTGTTAGTAAAATTTCTCTCTCCGTTTCCCTAGAAGGTAAACCGTGCCACATGGAGGTTGACACAGGGTCAGCGCTCTCAATAATCTCGTGGAGCACACTCAAGAGACTCCATCCCAGCCTATCTACTACCCGGCTTCAGAGATGCCAGTTCGGTCTGAAGGACTACCAGGGGAAGGCCATTCCCGTGATCGGCAGAGGCAAGTTCTTTGTCAGTTTTAGAGCTTTTAAAGGCCACCTACCTCTAGTGGTAGTTAACGGCAATCTACCCACCTTATTGGGGCTCGATTGGTTTCCCCACCTCGGCCTAGGGCTAACAGGAGTCCATGCTGTCTCAACCTCAGACACTGACTCCTTATTCGCTGACTACGCAGATGTGTTCAGCGAGGAGCTGGGGTGTTATAATGGAACCCCCATCTCGTTCACCGTTGACCCCCAGGCAGTCCCAATCAGATTAAAACCACGTAGAGTTCCATTTGCTATTCGACCAAAACTAGACGCTGAATTGGATAAACTACTAAAACAAGGGGTCATTGAGCCAACAGATTTCGCCAAGTGGGAGACGCCCATTGTCACACCCCTTAAAAAAGATGGTAGCCTGAGAATTTGCTCGGACTACAAGACAACGATCAATAAATATTTACAAGTTAGCGCCTACCCTGTGCCCGTCATTCAGCACTTATTACACACATTCGAGCCGGGCAGTATTTTTGCTAAATTGGACATGTCTCAAGCATATCAGCAGTTCCCTGTTGATAACCAAACAGCGGAACTTCAGACCATCGTCACTCACAGGGGTGCCTTCCGATGCAAGCATCTCCAATTTGGCGTAAGTGTTGCCCCGGGTATTTTTCAATCCCTCATGGAGCGGATTTTATAGGGCCTCCCTGGTGTAGTACCCTACTTCGACGACATCTTGGTCTCGGCCAGGGACAGACCCCAACTCTTCCAGAGAGTGTGAGCAGTGTTAGAGAGGTTCAGACAGCATGGCCTCAAGTTAAAAAAAGAAAAATGCGCCATTGCCACTAGACAGGTGGACTTTCTGGACTATAAAATTGACGCCTCTGGCATTCACCCCCTGGAGTCCAAGGTTAGGGCAATCCACGAAGCTCCCACACCAACCTCCAAAACGGAGCTACAAGCTTTCTTGGGGCTGCTGAACTTTTATGCATCCTTCTTGCCCCATAAAGCCTCAGTAGCCGAACCCCTACACAGATTACTAGACAAAAAGTCACCGTGGCACTGGGGGCACAAAGAAGACCAGGCGTTTAACGCCGTCAAATCACTACTTACGTCAGAGGCAGTGCTCATCCAATTCGACCCCAACCTTCCTTTAGTACTGGCAGCAGACGCATCCCCTTTTGGAATTGGGGCGGTCCTTAGTCACAGACTCCCCAATGGCGCCGAGGCCCCCATCGCCTTTTTCTCCAGGACGCTCTCGGCCACAGAGCGAAACTACAGCCAAATAGACAAGGAAGCCCTAGCAGCTGTTGCGGCCGTGAAAAAGTTTCACGAATTCCTTTTTGGCCACTTCTTCGAACTGGTCACCGACCATAAGCCCCTCCTGGGCCTACTGGCCGGCGACAAACAGACACCTCAAGTCCTTTCCCCTAGGATGACAAGGTGGACACTTTTCCTAGCGGCCTACTCATACAAACTTATTCACCGCCCGGGCAAAACTCTATCCCACGCCGACGCTCTCAGTCGCTGCCCCTTACCCGCTCCGGCTGAAGACCCAGCTCCTGTCAACGCCATTTTCGAAATCACCCAGTTGGACCTGCCCATCACCGCCCTTGACATCGCCGCTAAAACCAAGGCAGACCAAGCGCTCGCCCAGGTGCTCGACTGGGTGAGGAGGGGGTGGCCGGGAGGCAACGTTGATAACAAATTCGCACCCTTTAAGACTCGCTTGCAGGAGCTGTCCAGTTTGCAGGGTTGTCTACTGTGGGGCACTCGAGTGGTCATTCCGACCTCGCTGCGTACCCGAGTCCTGGAGGCGTTGCACGAGGGACACCCCGGCATCGTGAGAATGAAGTCATTAGCACGCAGCTACGTGTGGTGGCCGGGTCTAGACGAGGACATTGTCAATTGGGTAAGTTCCTGCAGCATTTGCCAGGAATCCCGTCCTGCTCCCCCCATCGCCACCCCTACCAAATGGGAGAGCCCCAGCGCCCCTTGGTCTAGAATCCATATCGATCTGGCCGGCCCCGTGCATGGAAAGATGTTCCTAGTGGTCGTGGACGCTTATTCCAAATGGATAGACGT